CCCATACCTCTTATTTTCTGGTTTGCTTTGTTTTAAAAATCAACAGTAATTTAAAAAAGAAATACAAACGTCAGCTCCAACCATTCAAGTTATACATTAATGCTAAGGTTTTATTCATTTTATATAAAAAGGTTGAACATAGATCCTAAATATGTTTGGCAGCAACGTCTGCAATGTACAAAACATCTGTATTATATTGATTTAACACTGAACTCGAAAGTGCATTTATTCACCACAGCCAGAGCAGCCAGCCTGTCAGAAAAGTGATGGCCACATCTCAGAAAAATGCTGTGCAACATAGCAAAGCAAGTAAAGGACTTTATTCACAAAAGGATCACATCCCAACCCCATGGGAGTCAATTGTACAGTGTCTGATGACTTCAATGGGCTACAAAGGCAGGAGTCCAGTTAATTCCAGGTATTGGTTAGACAAGCTAGCATTGCTCCAGAGAAAAGAAAGAGCTTCATGCACTGAAATACTTGCTTGTAGGCTGTTTCACACGTACTTGCTGATCCCTTGATGACTGTGGCATCAAGTAATGCCTTGCAAGTATGCATGTGTGCATGAAAGAACACAGATCATTACCAGACACGCAATGTTTATCTTCTCAAGGGCAATACCTGCACAGGCTGGATTCAAATGTAACAGGAGGCCTACTATATGAAAGCATTGGTACACCTCCCATACCATTTTCTTATTTGTATTTTTAAGATGCATGTAAAATAAATATACTATATATCATAATCCTAGATCAGGTAGGAAGCTCTCATGTTCGATTTTAAACAAACCACCATTCTTTAGTGTATTTTTGAAGGCTTTCATGGCTGGAATCATTAGGTTGTTGTAGATTTTTCACACTATATGACCATGTTCTAGAATAGTGGTTCTCAACCTGGGGTCCCCAGATGTTTTTGGCCTAAAACTCCCAGAAATCCCAGCTAGTTTACCAGCTGTTAGGATTTCTGGGAGTTGTAGGCCAAAAACATCTGGGGACCCCAGGTTGAGAACCACTGTTCTAGAAGCATTCTTTCCTGACGTTTCGCCTGCATCTATGGCAGGCATCCTCAGAGGTTGTGAGGTCTGTTGGAAACTAGGAAAATTGGGTTTATATATCCGTGGAAAGTCCTGGGTGGGAGAACGAACTCTTGTCTGTTGGAGCTACGTGTGAATGTTTCAGTTGACCATCTTGATTAGCATTTGATGGCCTGGCAATTTTTAGGTATGGCTTGTTACTGCCTGTTACTGTTGATGGGTGTTGTTCTTTATTTATTGTTATAATTTCAGATTTTTTTTAATACTGGTAGCCAGAACACTCAAACACAGGGGAACTCCAGACAAGAAACAATCAAGGACAGCTAATCACTCAACAAAGGATTTCCCCAGGCAGTAACAAGCCACATCTAAAAACTGTCAGGCCATCAAATGCTAATCAAGGTGGCCAACTGACATTCACACCTAGCTCCAACAGACAAGAGTTCTTTCTCCCACCCTGGACATTCCACAGATATATAAACCCAATTTTCCTAGTTTCCAACATACCTCACAACCTCTGAAGATGCCTGCCATAGATGCAGGCAAAACATCAGGAGAGAATGCTTCTGGAACATCTCCATAAGGCCCAAAAAACCTACAACAACCTATCATTCTTTATTCCAGCAAAAAAGAAACAATTATATCTTTAATTTCTCACTAGTTCAAACAATCCAGGATTAAACTGTCATTTCTGATATTTGCTTCCTGGCATGTTTTTCAGAGTTTGGATGTTTTGTTTAAAAGTGAAAATGGATCAGTCCAAGCTTTTCTTTTAGGTCTTGACTAAGGGAGAATACACGATCTATGACAAACTGTGGAAATAGTAGTTGCCCATTATGTCTGAATCAAATCTCAGCCAGTTCACAGATTCAACTGCAAGTACTGAAAAGCTAGATAAGCCTGTGAATAGTATGAATATTTCTTTGAACAGACTGCAGACATAATTTGTGAACGCCTTCGTGGTATAAAGCCAACCTTCCATCTTTCACTCCAGTGAGTAATATGCAAAGGAATATTGGAGCAAACGGATCCAAACTAACAAGGCTCTATCTCTACCATTTTGGTAACCTATTTAGAAATTTCAAGGCAATGGATGGGACCCTTCAGGGTTGAAGTACCTATATGTTTTTAAGGAAGATCCAACATCTAAAATCTGGTGCAAGATTGCATGTTCAGAAGGAAAGAACTTTAATCCGGTGAGTTTGTTTCAAGTATCAAAACTGACTTCAGAATCCTTGCATGTTTGACAGTACATGCATCTTGTGAAGACACCATCATCCTTGTATTGTTCTAGTCCTTATGACACATCTGGGAAGACAAGGACATTGACTGCTATGATCAAATACGCTATGAAAATATGTTCAGGGATTGGATCTAGGACAGGCATGAGCAAACTTTGGCCCTCCAGGTGTTTTGGACTTCAATTCCCACAACTCCTAACAGCCGGTAGGCTGTTAGGAGTTGTGGGAGTTGAAGTCCAAAACACCTGGAGGGCCGAAGTTTGCCCATGCCTGATCTAGAATGTATTTCCTGCTACTGGAAGGACTATGCTCAGGAAAAAGTTCAATTTTCTTGGATTCCTGTCTTCTTCAAGATACTAAATCTTGTGCCATGCGACAAGGTCTCCTGATCTCTTGTGTAGCATTTTAGAAGGTTATAGAGTTGGCTGTTGGAAGAAGGGGGCATGGAAGCACTGTTCCTCCAGCCTAGTTGCATACACCTAAATGTGGGTCAAGCTCTGGCTTGGTTCTGTTATATGAGAGTTTACCAGGCATTGCCTACACTCTTTTGGTCAGGAATGGACTTTGTTAAGCTACACATAACTGTTTAGTTGTGTATACAGAGCACCCACAACTCTACTAAATCAGTGCCTTTCCTACCCTGGTAGATCACTGCAGTGATGACCAATTTATGGCCCTTTAAACAAATTAAAAATAAATAAATCTGGTTTTGTTCCTCACACAAGTAAAGTGCTCCAGTATGCAACAGACACTTGCTATTCCAAAAGCTTGTACTGGAAGAACAGCTTGGTTTGTCTTTTAAAGGAAACGTAAATATCACATCAGGGAATTTCAGCTTCAAAGACTAAACCAAGAAGCAACAATGATAAATAAGGATGAAAAAAGCAGCTCAGCAGCAGTTAATGTCATCCAATTTCCTCCAGAAAAGGGCTGTTTCCTAAAACATGTGCATATTTTTTGAAAAAAGAAATACAGTGAGTCTGTAATTTCTTTCGGACACATCTCCATCAAGATTAGCATCTTTCCGTGAAAGTCCCATCCGCCAGGAAACAGAGTTGCAGCCAGTTTCAATGTATTTGAAGAAGATGTGTCAAGTAGACAGTCCTGCTGGATTGTGCCTTTTCATTTTGATTTCATGCTTTCCTTTCCTTAGAGTTTAGAAACATTACTTTTAAAGACTCCAATTGCCAGAATCTGTGAATCAGCATGAGCGAGCACTTTTCCCATCTTGGCCAGTGGTTCTCAACCTGGGGTCTCCAGATGTTTTTGGCCTACAACTCCCAGAGATCCCAGCCAGCTTGCCAGCTGTTAGGATTTCTGGGAGTTGAAGGCCAAAAACATCTGGGGACCCCAGGTTGAGAACCACTGATCTAGGCAGTTGGAGGCTTCCACATCAGTGTGCCAAATCCAATTTTAATTTTAGCCTGAACTTTTTGAGGTGATGAAATTTGTTTTGGAATAATGTTCAATAGCTTGGTCAGCCTTTAGAACTCAGACTAAAATCTAGATGGAGGGTAGGATTCTGCTCCCTGACTAGCTTCTTTAAGATGGAGACTGAACGCTGGACAGATTCACTAGCTCTAAAGATACGGAAGCTGTCACTGCTTAGGTATGAGAGCCAGGTATTCATTTCCGGGGAACAAAATAAAGGAATATACTTGGAACGTAATTGAGATAAGAACTAAACCTCTAGCCTGGTGACGTCACATGACTTATGAAACATCAGTGAGATGGAAGCTAATGCTGCCTTCTGCCCCAGGAAGCTCTTTTCTCAATTATTTGTTTTATATCTTCCAAAGCAGTCTGCCTGATTGTGGATGATTTACTTTCTGCCGTAGAATTTATTGGATGCCATCTCTTATTTCCCCTTCCATTTGTTTGGTCTCTTAAGGCAGATCTAGACAGCCCCTTTATTGTGGAAGCTTCTGCAATAAAAGGGGGGCTGTCCAGATAATGCCACAGCCAGATAATTTGCCACAACCAGATAATTTGCCACAAACCAGGAAAACCCTGAATTAATTAGATAGTGTGTTTATTCTGTGTCTTCTTGGAAGGTGCAGGATAAACCCATTATTTCCAGTTCTAGATTGCAGAATACCGCAGTCCAGACACCATTCCCACAGTTTTCTAGGCTAAATTAGTCCGGAGGACTGTGGGAATACCCACCCCTTCCCCCAAAGACCCAATCCCCTTTTAAAAGTAAAGAAAACTTACCCGGCCTCCAGTACAGTCTTGCAGCAGCGATCCCCCACCCCCACTCTCCTGACACATCATTTCTATGTTCAGGGAGAGCTGCTGCAAGACTGTACTGGAGGCCGGGTAAGTTTTCTTTACTTTWAAAAGGGGTCTGGGTGCCTTGGGGGAGGGGGGAGGGCTTCCAGATGTTCTCACAGGTCAGTCCCATGAGTGTATTTGGACACTCATCCCAGAAATTGCACACTTTCTGGGGTGGGTGTGGACAGGCTCCCAGGAACATCTGTGTTTTTAAAATGTGGATGGTCCTGGGATAACTTCCTGTCTAGARGCGCCCTTGGTCAAGCCTTAGACCAGTGGTTCCTAATCTTTGGTTCTCCAATTGTTTTGGACTTCAACATCCAGAAATTCCAGCCAGGTTACCAGCTGTTAGGAATTGTGGGAACTGAAGTCCAAAGCACCTGGAGAACCAAAGGTTAAGAACCACTGTCTTAGACAGATCTCAGAAACTGGCTTTGTGTTGAAAAAAAATGTTCTAAAGGGAAATGAGTATYCATGACTGCAGAAGACCAAAACAACAACAAAAATGGCTCCATCCTGGCTGATGCCATGTCATTTAGTTCTCAATAAAATCAACGCAACCTGCCAAAAGCTTCACATCTGCAAGACATGCTCACTTAAATCCAGTGCATGCATTGTGCATGCAGGATATTTGATATGCACAAGACATAATTGCTACCACATAAGAAAACAATGAACTGTTGCACCTATGGAGCTCTATTTGTGTGCTTGAGTACTACTGAACTTTGGATCTTGCCCATTATTGCTGAACAGGATTGCACAACCAATCGATAAGCATGACACCCAGACAAGGGGCAAACTTGGGAAAGTAAGAATGACACTTGGGGGCATTTCTTTGGGTTCAAAAAGATTCTATCACTACATTACACAGTGGAAGTAATACAGAGAAGCAGTTTCCCCTATTCAGTGCAAAATCCACCTAAAGCTTTTGAAACAGTGGGAATCCAGAGGACCAGTTTGGTTCCTGGGTGCCATCCCATGATAAACAGGAAGACTGGCCGTGCAGTAGGATTTGGTTCAACTGGGACTGAAATCCCTTCGCCTAAGTCTGTGCCTTGAAGTTGACAATTTTATTTCTTTTTTCAAATAGCCCAAAGCTTAAAAGGATCAGGAGAGAATGATTTTCTATCTGGAGAATGTCATGTGACATAATCCATAATCCAACTCTAGCTCCGACAGTTATGAAATGTATAAATATATCCCCCTTTCCCATTTAGCATGAACTGGAGTTATATTTCAATAGACATTTAAAGCTGTACTTTCCAGAGTTTCTACCTTTTTCTATCAATGGTTCTGCCTAGTAACCTTTGAGCATTTTTGCTCCACGGTACCTCTGCATGTTTATTTCCCATGGAGAGCTGAGCAGGACTGCTGGGGTTCTGCTCTCCCCAGAATGTGTGCCTCCGGAAATCCTTGCAATTGCCCTTTTCAGGCAAAGATCAGTAGTTATGGGCAAACTCTCTCTGGAGCTAACTAACCCAGAGCTATAATGGGCAGTATATGGGATGATGGGAATTCAAGTCAAAAGATCCTAGGTGGAACAAGTCAATGCTGGCGTCAGATTTTGAAGTGATCTGCTGCCTCCTCAGACTCACCTCTATGGCACTGTCCATTGATTCCCCTTCTCTCTGGGCCAGATCCACAACTACAGGTCAGAAGGGGAGGAGAAGGCCTGTGGAGGCTGCTCCTTGTCCTTGGTTTTATCATTGCAGTTGAAGGCAAGCGAACAAGCAATGACAGCAAAGATAAAAAGAAACAGGATGGGCCAATTTCATGTATCAGCAGCAAGCCTCCTGTATGGGTATGGATACTAGCAGCTATCTGACAATGCCAGTCCTTGAAGCTGGCTCTGATGCATGACCACCATTACTGCTGAAAAGCATCTGAGGAATCCCAGATCCCTCAGAACAGAACTTGGAAACCACTAAGTTAAGGAATGGTTCTTTACGTACTATGAAGAAATGGTCCTTAATGGTGACGCAAAAACACCTATCCAATATTCTACCTCAATTCAGCAGGATTGACAGATGGATATGAGTCTGTATGAATTTGCTGTTCTTGCAGTTAAATGAGAATCAGGCGAAAAATATGGCAGGATATAATCAGGAGTTTCGGTCAGCAATTTTAGAGATGAAATCAGATGGGACTGTATTGGATGGGTCTACATGGGAGTCAGTTAACAGTGTTGGTCAGTTTCTCCTCTCCAATTGGAAAAATTCGGTCTTCCCCATCACTCTCTCGATTGATAAAATAAAATATATCCAGATTCTGAATTTTTTGATATATCAGAAGTCAGACCATAGAATTCTTCAATAGCTTGCGCATCAATTTTCTGCAAAAAAAGAAAATTGGGAAGAACAGAAATAAGTTGCCAAGCAATTCAAAGAATACATCTGATATCGTGGAGATTAAGATCCTCGGGGGAGGCCCTGCTTTACATCCCACCATTGTCACAGGCACGATTGGTGGGGACGACGACAGGGCCTTCTCGGTGATTGCTCCCCGGCTATGGAACTCCCTTTCTGGTGAGATCAGGTCGGCCCCCTCCCTCCTGTCCTTTAAAAGGATGGTAGAACTTGGCCATGGGACCAAGCTTTTGGGACAGGGTAATAAAACGGCAATAGAAAAGATGACCAGGCCAATTAGATTTGACGCGGATGACTAGGAAGGTTTTAAATGGTGTATTTTAATATTTTGATAACTTTATTTAATGTTTATGTATTGTATGTGAATCTGTGTCCTGGCATTGAATGTTTGCCGTGTATATTCTGTGCTCTGCCCTGAGTCCCCTTTGGGGTGAGAAGGGTGGAATATAAATGTTTTAAATAGATAGATAGATAGATAGAATACACTGTCAAAGAATACACTGTCAAACCAAATGTAATTGTGCATAGTTTGACAAATGAAAGGGATTTCTTTTTTTAAAAAAAAGCAAAGCATGATCAGTAATATGTAGCCTGAAGTGTTGTGGTCTGTTCTACCACTTTTGTTTTGTGTGTAGAGTAGACATCTAACATCTATAGAGGATACTTAAAATTTAGGACTCTGAAACTTCTCAGTGGTGGATATCAACATTCCAATAAATTAACAGAATTAAGAAAATAAAACAAGAAAAAGAAAAGAAAATAAGAGACCACATTGCATGAATGATCCAATTGAATCCATATCTAATCTATGGGGCGATTATCAGTATACTGACCTCTACAATATCATCATCGAACAAAAGCCAAAAGCCATGACTTTTCACAATAGTAATATAATGTCCACGGTTAGGTCCACTAAGAAGGAAAGAGAGAGAAAAATAAATGTTAAAATAATAGGCATAGTCAGCTTTTGTACTTTTTTTTGTCGTGCCAGGAGTGGCTTGAGAAATTGCAAGTCGCTTCTGGTATGAGAGAATTGGCCGTCTGCAAGGACGTTGCCCAGGGGACGCCTGGATGTGTTGATGTTTTACCACCCTTGTGGGAGGCTTCTCTCATGTCCCCACATTGAGAGCTGGAGCTGAGAGAGGGAGCTCATTTGCACTCTCCCCAGATTCGAACCTCTGACCTGTTGGTCTTCAGTCCTGCTGGTACAGGGGTTTAACCCACTGCACCACTGAGGGCTCCTAGCTTTTGTACTATAACTCCCAGAGTCTCCCCAGCCACTATGGTTAATATAGGAAAACACAGACTACATTTTTATGGTCCCTGGGAGGGCACCCCAGGAATCATGGGTAAGAATAAATTGCCATCTCTAGAATCATAGAATCATAGAGTTGGAAGAGACCTCATGGGTCATTCTTTCTTGTATGGTTTTTGAGTTGAAAGACATTTGGGACAGAATCATAGAATCAGAGAGTTGGAAGAGACCTCATGGGCCATCCAGTCCAATCCTCTGCCAAGAAGCAGGAAAATTACATTCAAATCAACCCGGACAGATGGCCATCCAGCCTCTGTTTAAAAGCTTCCAAAGAAGGAGCCTCCATCACACTCCGGGGCAGAGAGTTCCACTGCTGAACAGCTCTCACAGTCAGGAAGTTCTTCCTAATGTTTAGATGGAATCTCCTTTCTTGTAGTTTAAAGCCATTGCTCCGTGTCCTTCTCCAAGGCAGCAAAAAACAATTTCGCTCCCTCCTCCCTATAACTTCCTCTCACATATTTATATGTGGCTATCATGTCTCCTCTCAGCCTTCTCTTCGTCAGGCTAAACATGCCCAGCTCTTTAAGCCGCTCCTCATAAGGCTTGTTCTCCAGACCCCTGATCATCTCCAGACCCTTGATCTCTACTTATACGTTTGTCCAGAGCTCTAATTTACAAAACTGTGTATGTCTGCATTCCTGAAAAATGTAAACACCCCTCCCTTATTTTGCGGTGAATAGCCCAGTGTTGCAGCCAAATGGATACTCACTTGTCCTGCAGATTTTATTTATTTATTCAATTTATCTATTCATTTGTCCTGTCAAAGGACAATGGTTCACTATTAATATTCTATACAGGAATTCTTTCTTGGTCTTGGTGGGAATGGGGATTACCTGCCGCAGTGAACTACCACAGCTACCAAGTCATACATGCGATCCAAATTGATAGCATCCCCAGATGTGTTGAAGAGACGTAACTCCAGTGGGAATACCACACGGTAAGAGAGCTTGGTGTACCGGTGTAACTGCTCCATGTATTTAAATCTCTTCAGATGCAATGCAAGGATCATCGGTAGCTTTTTGACCCTCATCCTGGGGAGCCAAATAAAATGTGAGAATGAGAACTCTGCTCTTTACTCATACCCCACTGGCAGATTTTTGTTCCATGTTGTGGGTGGGAGGAAGGTAAAGGAGGATCTGTCTTAAAACTTTCCTTATCTTCAGCTGGACAATATGAGCCCAGATAATAACTTAGGTAGGTACCTAACTTGTAAAAGAATTCCCACAAAATGTATGAACACTTAACATAGGTAAACAAAACCATTTTCATAGCTATAAGAGAGAAGTTCCATACTCCTCCCCTAACTACAGTTCTCTACAAGCCACGAAGATGTATATGGAGTTGTCTAGCAGGGCTGAGAATTACTGACTCTACTATACATGCAATTTTAGGTATGTTTGATACTTCCTATGAACCGGGACTGTGGCGCAGCTGGTTGGAAGTCAGCTGCATTAGGATCACTACTGATTTCGAAGCCATCCCGGGTCGGAGTGAGTTTCTAACCAATTTGTGTAGCTTGCTGTCGACCTCTGCAGCCCGAAAGACAGTTGCATCTGTCAAGGAGGAAATTTAGGTACCGCTTATGCAGGGAGGCTAATTTACGGCACCATAAAAAATCTCCAGCAAGCATGCAAAGAATGAGGAAGGGCTTAATCAGTGTCACAAATGGACGGTGAAGCGACAGCTCCCCTGGTGGCCAGAATATCCTCATGAAAAAGCTGGAATGTTAAATAGCTTCTGTTTGTCTGTCTATATATGTTGTGTGTCTATGGCATTGAATGTTTGCCATGTATATCTACATTGTAATCCACCCTGAGTCCCCTGCGGGTTGGAAAGGGTGGAATATAAATACCGTAAATAAGTAAATAAGTAAATAAATAAATAAAATACAATTGTTTCCTATTCATATTTCATTTTAATATAATTTAGTAAATTGGAAGGCAATAATCTGCTTCTCACCCCACAAATGAAAGCTGGAGAGATGTATTTCACTGTTCTTTATTTTACTGGCTGTTTACATGCAGAACAGTGACTGGCCACACTGTGCAGAATTACCTTTTTTGTGCCTCTTGTTTGCTACAGCACGTTTCACAGTAGTACTTCTGTTCACTACACAAGGTCTCTGTGTTGCTGAAGTCTCTGAAATGAGCAGAGATACCAGATTTCAGCATTTCTCTATATTTCTTTAACATAGACATGCAATCAAATACATTGAATTGCTTGTACAATATTGTATGAGCTGCTTTATTTATTGTAACTTAAACCCAACAACTAATTATCACCACTATTAATTTTTTATATATTTTGCCTAATCTGAGATGATCTTTAGGCTGTTTAAAGTAAAATCAGTTTTCAAATATTTAATCAAAAGAATAAAAATATTCTCAACATATGATAAACAACTGAACAATTTGAAAAGTGAAAACAGCATACAGCCATATATGTAGACAAATTCGGATGAAATCATTATTGGATAATCACTAGTCACAAAACCAATGAGCAATGGTGTCCAACAATTAGTCCTTAGGTGTTTGGGACTCCAACTTCCAGAAGGACAAAAGGTTGGACACCACTGTGCCTAGAGGAAAGTTGTGAGATCGGGACTATGTCAGATTCTATCACTGCATTCCCAAATCCTGAGACCTTGTGGTGACATTAGACATGATGATTTAAGTTTCAATCCCATTTGCCCTGTGGATGCCATTCAGATATGCAAAATCAAGTCTAACAAGTGAGGAAATATATAAACACATATACACACACTTTTCAAAGCAGTATTCGGACTCTGAGATTCCTCATTCTTGTGGTGAACACTGACTCTGGCCCTTTCCACACTGCCCTATATGCCATGATCTGATCCCAGATTATCTGCTTTAAACTGGATTATATGAGTCTCCACTGCCAGATAACTTGGGATAAACAGGTAATTTGGGATCAGATCCTAGTATATAGGGGCAGTGTGGAAGAGGCCTCAGATCTTGGAACCCTATCCCAGTGTCAGGATTCACCCTCACTGGGTGCACTGGATCACACACAATAGAGGTGGTTTGATGGCTGGGGAGCTCCTTGTGTACAGAATGGGTTCTCATCTGATTTCTTGGCTCCCTCTTTATGACAACAAAGACTCTTTTTACATTGTCATATAATCGAGATTATCAAAGCAGATAGTCCACATTATCTGCTTTGAACTAGATTATATGAGTCTACAGTGCCATATAATCCACATCAAAGCAGATAATCTAGATTATATATGGCAGTATAAAAGGGGCCAGAATTTGTACCCATTTCTAAATGGGGAGACTGGAGAGTATTTGGAAATTATTTGCACTTTTTTCTTATAGAAATTGCTACATGCGGGGCCATGAATCTCATAGGCCAGAACACTTTTGGTACACGATGTCAACCTCATCACACTGGGAAAATTCCCTGTTGTAGAACACTTTGCTGATGCAGCCAGCACAGAGCTCGCCCGATGTCATCACATGATGCACATGTGATGTGCATTCAGCAGGACTCCGTGCCAACTGTGTTAGCAAAGTGTTCTATGATGGGGATTTCTGAACATGGGAAACGACCTGTGTTTCATAGAATCATAGAGTTGGAAGAGACCTCATGGACCATCCAGTTCAAACCCCTGCCAAGAAGCAGGAAAATAGCATTCAAAGCACCCCCAACAGATGGCCATCCATTCTCTGTTTAAAAGCTTCCAAAAAAGGAGCCCCCACCACACTCCGGGGCAGAGAGTTCCACTGCTGAACAGCTCTCACAGTCAGGAAGTTCTTCCTAATGTTCAGATGGAATTTCCTTTCTTGTAGTTTGAAGCCATTGTTCTGTGTCCTAGTCTCCAGGGCAGCAGAAAACAAGCTTGCTCCCTCCTCCCTATGACTTCCTCTCACATATTTATACATGGCTATCATGTCTCCTCTCAGCCTTCTCTTCTTCAGGCTAAACATGCCCAGCTCTTTAAGCTGCTCCTCATAGGGCTTGTTCTCCAGACCCTTGATCATTTTAGTCACCCTCCTCTGGACACATTCCAGCTTGTCAATATCTCTCTTCAATTGTGGTGCCCAGAATTGGACACAATACTCCAGGTGTGGTCTAACCAAGGCAGAATAGAGGGGTAGCATGACTTTCCTGGATCTAGACACTATACTCCTATTGATGCAGGCCAAAATCCCAATGGCTTTTTTTGCCACCGCATCACATTGTTGGCTCATGTTTAACTTGTTATTCACGAGGACCCCAAGATCTTTTTCACATGTACTGCATCTTTGCATTTCATTTTTTCTGCCTTAGTGGAGTATCTTGCATTTGTCACTGTTGAACTTCATTTTGTTAGTTTTAGCCCATCTCTCTGATCTGTTAAGATAGTTTAGAATTCTTCTCCTGTCTTCTAGAGTATTGGCTATCCCTCCCAATATGGTGTCATCTGCAAACTTGATGATCATGCCTTCTAAGTCATTAATACATTGGCCTCCCTCTGTCGGTGATTCGGAAGCTCAAGTTGGTACAAAACGCAGCTGCTCGGCTTCTTGCGGGAATTCCGATGAGATGCCACATAACACCAATCTTACTACAGCTGCATTGCTTACCAATTGAGCACCGGATCACTTTCAAAGTGATGGTACTCACCTTCAAGGCCTTGCATGGTCTGGGGCCAATGTATCTGAGGGATCGTCTCACCCCCTACCACCCCCAGAGATCCCTCCGTTCTGAGGACCAAGATCTATTGGAAGTCCCCAGTGTCAAGACCTTGCGTCTAACGGCAACCAGACGCAGAGCCTTCACAGCAGTGGCGCCATCAGTCTGGAATGCTCTGCCACCTGAAGTTCGTGCCCTGCGGGACTTACCAGCTTTCCGCAGTGCATATAAGACATACCTGTTCCGACAGGCTTTTAATGTTTGATACTGTTGTTTTTAAATTGTTTTAAATTGCTTTTAAACTTTGTTAGATTTTAGCCATTCTTGTAAGCCGCTCCGAGCCCCAGGGGAGTGGCGGCATATAAGTTTAAATAATAAATAAAAATAAATAAATAAAAATCAAAATGTTGCACAGGACCGGGCCCAGGACGGAACCCTACGGCACTCCACCCATCACTTATTAGATTAAAAATGCTGGGTATAGTGTGGGAGCATGCTTGGAAAGGCATGATTTCCAGCGTGTGATGGGCAAAAGCGAATGATGTGGGGCGCCAGCTGACAGATTCCCCCACATCAAGGACCTCCATATGATGAGGTCTCAAGTGAATACACAGCCATAGGTAGTGGTGGGAGGAAGAGGGGCTTTGTATATTTTTACCTATATGTATTCTATTGTATTCTGCCTTAATGTGAGTCAACCTGAATCCCAGCCTGGGAACAAGCTGGGTTATAAATAGAATGATTGATGGATGGAATGGACCCACCACCCCATTGTTGATGTCCTCATTTATTGTGACTATATCCTGTACTGGCTTGGCAACTCCTGGGCCAGAATTAGTGCCAACAAGCTTGGCCGGAGCTGGACCAAATTCTAGACCAGGCATGGGCAAACTTTGGCCCTCCAGGTGTTTTGGACTTCAACTCCCACAATTCCTAACAGCCTACCGGCTCTTTGGACTGCATTTAAGGGTGATTTTCAGAGATGCCAAAATTATAATTTTAACACATGCCAGAATGCTTCACTTTGATTAAAATAATAATAACAAAAAAGATATTTCCACACTGCTAATTTCTGGCTCAGAAACATGTATGAGCTGTTTCCTTAGAAAGAATTATGTTAGAAGTGTTGTTTATTCACGTGGAAGATGTTTTTCTTCAAAAGAACACACACATACACAGAGAAATGTCAATAAAACAAAGGAAAGGAAAGGTTCCATGAGAGGTAATATTGACTGATTCAATTGCCCTTTTCAGTGTCTCGTGGAAACAAAAACAGCAAATACATAATTTATTGTGTTATTTTATGAATTCTTTCAGTGCCAGTCTTAACACAGAGAGAGAAAATAAAGATGTTGGAAGCTTAATAGAGAAGGTTCTTTCCTTCCAAAGATAACTAAAAGGAAGGAGAACTTGATGTAATATTTAATGGGGAAAGAAACTAATTGAGCAATTGTCTCCGAATAGCTCCTGTCTTCTTTTTATTCTTTCCAACTATGCCATTTATATAATCAAGATCAAAGTGAGACGTTTCAGCTTTTGAAAGTGGAAAATATAATTCCTAAAATATTTCCATGCCTTGTAAGCAGAAGGTATATTTTGTGCTAATTATAATTGTTACAGGAAAGAAACAAAAATATTGTACTGATTCTGTCTTTGCTTAACCTCCTTTTAGTCAGCACTTTCTGCTTTTACTGAAAAGGCAAGGACAGAAAATGGTAGCTGTTGGCTATGTCATCTGCTTAAAAATATTTATCTGCTATAATACCACAGTAATGAAAGGACCAAGGCAATGACATCTCCAGCCCATCCGCTGTTTGGATATTAGCCAGCACGCCAAGAAATAGCTTTCTAAGATCTACAGAAATATTCGCAGGGACACCTCAGCAAGCAAGAGTCCAAAAGTGGCAGATAAAAACCCGGAACCTCAATCAGTGATACCTGATGAGAAAATCAGTGATACCTGATGAGAAAATCCCTCTTGAGCACACAGAATACTGGGCGACTTTGAAGGCACTGAACAGACTGTGCTCTCGGACCACGAGATGAAGAGCCAATCTTAAGAAATGGGACTACAAAGTGGCATCCATGACATGTAAGTGTGGAGACGAGCAAACCACAGACCACTTACTACAATGCAGCCTGGTCCCTGCCACTTGCAAAATGGAGGACCTTCTCACAACAACACCAGAGGCACTCCAAGTGGCCAGTTTCTGGTCAAAGGAAATTTAGTATAATGCCAACTTTTAAACTTTGTTTATGGTTTTTGTATTATAATTGCATTCTCAATTTGCTTCTGACATGATGAATAATAATACCACAGATTTTCATCTTCCGACTGCATCCTTAGAAGTAATGCATACCAGTTTGGTGGGCCCACCAAAGGACATGTGACTATTGTTTGTTTGTTTATTTATTGATTTATTTATTTGCTGGCTTGTCTGAATTACAACCCACTTGTGTTCTGAATGAGACTGAAAGCTGGGACTGGGACCACATGGAGGTCTCATTAGTAATCAGTATCATGTAGCCAGTGCAGTTTGGCCCTTTTCCCCAGCTGCTCCAACAGTGCACATAACATCAGTTGTATATTCATTGCCCCATGTGAATGCGCCAGTTCATACAATCCTGGCTTGGTTGAGAGCTCACCAGCAATTCCATACCCTCAGAGGCAATTAATTTTCCCTTAACAAGAAAGTCTAAGAAAAAAAATGTTTGCCACTTATTTAGAATATGAACTCAAAGTTCTATTATACTAGGACAGGTCAACATCAATAGTCCAACGCAATATGCCCACATATCACATGAGGGTTCTGTTCAAAGATCCTTTATGTGATACAATTTTCATATAATCTGGAACCCTATTTTTCTGACTTGAAGTGAACAATGTTTTGGGTTTCTTAGGAGGAAATTTCATCAGAAGATAATAATAATAATAATAATAATAATAATAATAATAATAATAATAATAACAAAACTTTATTTATACCCCACCACCATCTCCCCAAGGGGACTCGGGGTGGCTTACATGAGGCCAAGCCCAGCAATACAATACATCAATATACAACAGAACACAGTAATAAAATATAAAGAAATAAAAATACAATACAAAAACCTTTAGAAATAACACTTCAAACAAAGTAAAGAAGTTGACCACAGAATCATTTTTTTTTTGTCGTGTCAGGAGCGACTTGAGAAACTGCAAGTCGCTTCTGGTGTGAGAGAATTGGCTGTCTGCAAGGACATTGCCCAGGGGACGCCCAGATGATTTTGATGTTTTTATCATCCTTGTGGGAGGCTTCTCTCATGTCCCCGCATGAGGAGCTGGAGCTGATAGAGGGAGCTCATCCACCTCTCCCAGGATTCGAACCTGCGACCTGTCGGTCTTCAGTCCTGCCGGCACAAGGGTTTAACCCACTGCGCCACCGGGGGCTCCAGAATCATATTGGAAGTGAGGGAGAAACATTCTCTACGCATCCCTAGGTCTTTCTGTGCAATTCTATGGTATTCAAAGCCATCTGTATATCAGTGAAGCAGCATTCAACAAGCTTATAAAATAAGATGTATTGTCTTCTCTGAAAAAACCATTGGACGAATTGATACCAAATTCGGACACAATGCACATATCAGGCCAACGAGTGATCATCACTCATAAAAACACTGAAAACACAGCAGAAAAGACTTTAAAAGCCAAAAAACAAAAAAAAATACATTACAACACATGTGCAAAACCACATCTATATATGCAAACACACATATACACAAATATATATACACACAAAACACATATACACAGACTGGGCCACAGCAGCACGTGGCAGGAGCCGGCTAGTAAATAAATAATAAGATGGACATATGGTGTTAGCTACCCAAAGCACACACAGGAAAAGAAAAATACACTTTCCGTTATTGTCAGGGATTGGTCTCAACTGATAAAAATGCTTAAGCAGATTCATATGTTGGAACGGTGTGTGAAATCTATTCCTGGTTCCTCAAAGCTCTGATAAGTCTGAATAAATTGCAAGTTGTGTTTAATCCAGTGAGACTTCATAGATGCTATGAACTTCTTATACATTTAGCAGCTGTGATAAATAACACTTGGGAGAAAATGTTTCACATTATCCATCAGTAGATTCTTTGACTGACAGATGATAGATTGCTTTCCCAGCGGGTGTCAGTAATGCATGCTAGAGCACATCTACAATCTGCAAGCTATTTGCTCTAAAGTACTCTTACTACTTACTACTTTCAGTGAAACTTCCTAGATTATACAATGAAAGATTCATAAACTGCAGTTGCTTCCAAGATATTCACTCTCACCAATTATTGATGTAATGTAGCCAAAGCTAATTTCATATTCTTGATTTGATTTAAGCTGTATCAAATGCCACTGATATAAAACGATGAGAGAGCTCTTTTCTCTTTATGCATTTTTTCCTACCTTAAGCAGTGAGTAATTGAAGTGTTCTGTTCTACATCAACAGAAAGATCAAGAAAATCTTCATCTTTGCTACTAACCTGGAAATAAAAACAAACAAACAGAAAAATCAATAGTATGTTACAGCACTACCAGCCAAACTGCCCGATTTGAAGAATGTATGTCCACCAATAAATGCTCAGAGGCATGACTATAAACATGCTGGCACAATGTCAAAACCTAGAATATCACAACCTAGGAAATTGTGCCATATATTGGAGGAACATTAAAGCATTGTGACAGGCAAATTGTTGTGTGCCTTCAAGCCCTTTCTGACTTACAGTGACCGTAAAATGACCTTATTATAGGGTTTCCTGGGACTGAGAGTATGTGACTGGACTACGGTCATCCTGTGGTTTCCCACGGCTGAGTATTTATTTATTTAAAACATTTATATTCCACCCTTCTCACCCTAAAGTGGACTCAGGGCGGAGCACAGCATATACACGGCAAACATTAGAGCATTAGAAAACATTTATCAAAATATTAAAATACACCATTTAAAACCGTCCTAGTCATCCGTGTAAAATCTAATTGGCCTAGTCATCTTTCCTATTGCTGCTTTATTGCCCTGTCCCGAAAGCTTGGTCCCACAGCCAAGTTTTTACCATCCTTCTAAAGGACAGGAGGGAGGGGGCCATCCTGATCTCACCAGGAAGGGAGTTCTATAGCCAGGGAGCAATCATCGAAAAGGCCCTGTCGCTCGTCCCCACCAATCGTGCCTGTGACAATAGCGGGACGGAAAGCAGGGCCTCCCCAGAGGATCTTAATCTCCGTGATGGTTCATAGGAAGAGATGCGTTCGGACAGATAATTTGTGCCGGGGCCATTTAGGGCTTTATAGGCCAAAACCAGCACTTTGAATTGTGCCCGGTAGCAAACTGGCAGCCAGTGGAGCTGGCGTAACATGGGAGTTGTATGTTCTCTGTATGCCACCCCAGATATTAACCTGACTGCCTCTCATTGGACTATTTGAAGCTTCCGAGTAGTCTTCAAAGGCAACCCCACATAGACTGCGTTGCAGTAGTCTATCCTAGATGTAACGAGAGCATGGGAATTGAATTCTGATTTCCTGAGTCATAGTCCAGCACTCAAACCACTACTCAAATCTCCAACCTATTTACATGTTATGACTTAACATGGATAAGGAAATTACCTAGGTAATTTCTAAATACCCCTCCCTAAGTCACAAATTTCCAGATTCCATAGTAAACAACCACAGCAGTTAAAGTGGAATCATAATGGTATAATTGCGTAGCATGAAAGGGACACTGGTTGCTTTTGTTGTTCTCTCAGTGCTGGAAACATTACGTGTAGCTATCCCAAAATAACCACAGTCAAATACAAGGCTTCACTTGTACATTCTATCAAGGGGACAACAAAGATCTGTGTTTTCTTAGGACAAAAGTGCTAATTATAACACATCTCATAATTAAAATTATTGTGTTCACCCCCAATCTAGGGATATGCCTTTCATACAGCACAATTTGGCACACATCACATGCTAAATCTAGAAAATTGAAAGCACAATGATTACTTCCATGAGATTGGCACAAGAGAAATCTGGACAACTTTATATTCAGGTGATGAGATGAACTTCTGGCCGAGATCAGATTAATGAGAAGCCAGAGTGGGTTGCTACTGTAACTCTAGCTCTAACCCTTCTGCACTGCCATATAATCCAGGTTATCAAAGCAGATAATCCACATTATCTCTGGATTATATGAGTCTACACTGCCATTTAATCCAGTTCAAAGCAGATAATCTGGATTTTATATGGCAGCGTAGAAGGGGCCCAAGTCCATATGTGTATGTATGTATTTGCCTTCAAGCCATTTGACGACTTATGTTTACTTAGGCAAGGAATACTTAAAGGTGGTTTTGTTATGAAAGAACGAAACATGAAGCAGCCTAGATGATGCTACTGGAAAATGAGATTAACAGGAAGACATTGGTTTTTATTTATTTTTAATGGTTTTGTACGGGTTTTATAATGTTGTTTGATTGTTTTTAATTGTATACTATGAACTATTATGGCATTGAATTGCTGCCAAATTGTAAGCTGCCTTGAGTCGCCTTCAAGCTGAGAAAGGTGGGATAGAAATATTGTAAATAAATAAATAATAGTTCCTTTCTCTGAAATATTTCTGCAGCACCAGACTTTTGTTGGAGGCCTCCCATCCAAATACTAACAAAAGTGGACCCTGCTCAGTTTCCAAGATCAATATACCAACCCTTATATAAACTTTGGTCATGGCTTTATAGTCCATCGCATTCTTGATACAGGGGAAACAGTGAGTATTTCAGAAGAATGCTATGACATTGACTACGATTACGGGCATGTTCCAGAATGGAGTCTCACCAAAAGTTAAAGCCATGCTATGAGAAATAAGTGCCTTTGCCTAATCCAGCAGTTTCCAAACTACTATAATCCAGGACACACCAGTGTATGTCAGAAACCCAAATCTAACAGTGGCTACAGCAAGAATAAACAACCCATGAGTCTCCACATGTTAATGAACTTCTACTCCCATCATCCCTTACCTCTGGTCTAATAGGAATCTGAGTTTTGTTACCACTAATTCCCTCCCCAATCCTCTTCCAACAGAAATTCGGGTAAGAGGGTCATATGCAAGAGGACACAGCTCAGTGCTTACAGTTTCACAGTTCAAGCATCTCGTTTCATTAGTTAGTGTTCCCTGAAAAATCTCGTGCACCCAGGTGACGTCTTGCTTATTGTTCTCTTCCGTTTCATTCATGTTGCCATTTCTTAGTCGGCCATTTTGCTTTTCCTGTTTCTTCTCCTCCTGCAGAATGTCGGCAACAGTGTTGAGCAAGTAGTTCAAAAACTCATGGGCATCTTGTTGCATGTAGTTGTCAAAGAGATCTGCCAAGGGATAAGAGCAAATATTTTCCTGGATTCTGAAGTCAAGGTCTCAGCATCTCAGAAGGGCCCATTGGGCTTCCCTGCCCCAGATCTGATGATGGAGCAGCTGATGGTATTGTAGACCACAGAGGAGAGGACCCCAAATCAAACCCCATCAAACTAAGTGGTTTAGGCCCTTTCTTCTGTGCTAGGCTACTGTCTGAAGTGACAGCAAAATTGGAAGCCACAGAGCAATTGACACATGGCTGTCCTTGATAGCTGCAAGGACTCCAATGGCTCCCAAACTCTAGTCTTCTAAGTGTTTTGGACTTCAGTTCACAGAAACCTCAACTTTATTGGCTTATGATCAGGGCTAAAGCCCCAAATACTTTAGCCAGAATTTGAGAAACACAGTTAAGTCAAATCATAATGATCACCTGCACTTTGAAGGAGATACAATGGGAAGAAAATGCCCAGCAATGCTATTCAGAAAGAAGAAGAGAGAATGAAAACAGGAATGAGACCAAAAAGAGGTACTGGTTAGTTCTGCCTCAGCCTGCTTATACCTGTCCCAGCAAGGCTGCCTAAAGGGAGTGGATGGTGGAGAAAGGACAAGGGCTGTAGCTATGGGGAAAAGAGGAAAATAAGGATATTGTCCCATCATGCTTTTGGAAAATGTGAATCTCCATAACTATTTGGGAAATGGGATTCATAACTTTTTTGAAAACCACTGGTCACAGGAAAGGCATGACCTTGCTAGAGATCATAACCTTTTACAAAGGCATTTATTACAATTTGCGGAAAAAAACAGGACTCTTCTGAGAAGAGTTAAAAACTTGCTTGAGTCAACCTTCTCCTTAGTGGAAAAATATCCACTTAGTATTCATGCAAGGCAATTAGGTTTCTCAGCTGTTAAACTGATAACCTACATATATCTTTGAAATGGTTAGGGACAAAGATATGCTAATGCAAAACAAACAAAACAAACAAAACAAAAAACACACAAAACATATATATATATACAGCAGAGTTTCAGAAGTGTTCTTTCAGTTGCCCAAAAACATCTACTCCCCTTAAAACATCTTGGTTTAAATCATGCTTTCAAGAGACAAAAATAAGCAATCTTCTTTAAAAATAACATATCTGATTTACTCACAAACTTCATATATTTAGCATACATGTATATTTCTTATTGATCCATTTACAGAAAGGATTTGAAGTAGTTTCTCTGTGCAGGTAACACAGAGCATCTTTCTTATAATCAACAGTTCAAAGTCCAAGGCATATCTCCAGTCTAATAGTCTCTTCTCTAAAGCATTCTGTTCCTACAGACTTTTAAACTGTACTGTACTGATTCTGATGCAAAACACACATATACACCGACTTCTAAAAATGGAATCTGAGTCCTGAACATGCCCAGTTCTGATCACATGGTCTGCAGCCCCTCCCACAACAAAGAAGTTAAAGAAAACTGCAAACCAATGCACACATATACAATATAGTAAGCAATCTCAATTATATACATAATAAATAACTAGCGGAGGTTGAGAAGGTTGCTATTTCCAACACAGAGGTAAAGATAAAGGTTTTCCCCTGACATTTAGTCCAGTCATGTCCGACTCTGGGGGGTGGAGCTCATCTCCATTTTTAAGCCGAAGAGCTGGCATTGTCCATAGACTCCTCCAAGGTCATGTGGCCAGCATGAATGCATGGAGCATCATTACCTTCCCATCGGAGCGGTACCTATTGATCTGTTCACATTTGCATGTTTTCGAACTGCTAGGTTGGCTGAAGCTGGGGCTGACAGCAGAAGCTCACGCCACTCACCAGATTCAAACCTGTAACCTTTCGGTCAACAAGTTTAGCAGTTCAGTGGTTTAACCCACTGTACCACCGGGGGCTCCAACACATGCCATGTAAGAATTGACACCTTAATGATTTTTTCCTCCAGTTCCCAAATTTCTAGCATTACAATAACTTCAGTTGAGATTTTAGAAATATATTACTTACCATTCTCCTTTCGTAACCGTGAGATGAATTTTTTGGGTGGGATCACCCCAACCTTTTTCTTCTGGGTAGCAATACTATGGAAAAGGTCCGCTAAACAAGTCAGGAGGTTTTCCTTCTTTTTCTGCTGGGCCTTATATGCCAGCACATTTTCCCGAAATGGCCGGCAAAAATATAGGGCTTGCAAGACCGAGTTACAGTAGCAGGTGTTCCCAAACTGCAAAAGCAAAAGATGGAGGCCAGCAGTGAGACACTCTTCAAGACAACATTCACAGAATCCAACAATTTTCCCCTTGGATTTTCTGATCTTTGTTAAGTTACCACCACTTGCTTACAAGGCACAATTTTTAAATAATGTAGGTCAGACGTCAGTATGTGGAGCTAGAGGATTAATCTTTTTCTAAGAATAAAAATTTACATCATATTAAATTGGCATTGCCAGCTCCTGTTTGCTGCTTAGCATAACATACTTTTTAAAAGGGATGCTTCTGTTCCAGAAGTCCTCAAACATAGCGCTGAAGGCACTCATCAAAATACCTTGACTATGATCCAGAAAGCTTTTTACTGGTGACCTCCACATTAAAAATTTAAGAGCCTCTTGTGATAAAAGCATGTTTCACATGCAGATTTCCACACCTTTTTTGGAATTGGGATGTCGGAATTTTTCACGTGATGTTTTATTGCCAGTATAACTCAAGGGTACAATAGTTTGCGGTTTGGTTAGTTCAATAACGTAGTGCAGGGGTCCTCAAACTAAGGCCTGGGGGTCAGATGCGGCCCTCCAAGATCATTTACCCGGCCCTTGCTCAGGGTCAACCTAAGTCTGAAACGACTTGAAAGCACACAACAACAACAACAATCCTATCTCATCAGCCAAAAGCAGCCCCACATTTCGCATTGAAATACTAATAGGTTTATGTTTGTAAAAATTGTCTTAATTTTAATTATTGTATTGTTTTTAAGTGCTTTTTTAGCACTACAATTAAGATATGTGCAGTATGCATAGGAATTCATTAATATATTTTTTTCAAATTATAATCCGGCCCGCCAAAAGTTTGAGGGACTGTGACCTGGCCCTCTGTTTAAAAAGTTTGAAGACCCCTGACTTAGTGAGTGGAGGAGCTACTCACTAAGCAGCTATTCTTCCTGCCTCTTCAGGGAGCCTACCTGGAAAGATAACTTACCTGATGGATGTTTAGGTCTATTTAACTGACAGGAGTTTATGTATGAAACAATTTCCAACTTCTATATGCCTTAGCCACAAAGTGCAATGAGGTTCATGAGTGGCAACTGCAGCACCCATCAGTCTCTAAACAGTATAGGGAAGATAGGCATTGTAGTTCAAAATGTCACACTTAACCTACTCCAGTTATAATCCTATTTGACCAGTTACAATTCTACTTCAACTGCTGCTTCCAAAGTCATTTCCAATTTATGGAGACCCTAAGTCATGAAGTTTTCTGAAGCTGAGAGTATCTGACCTTGCCCAGGGTCACCCAGTGGGCTTTCATGGCCAAACAGGGAATTAAACCTGGGCCTCCAGATAAGTAGTCCAATATTCAACCCAGTACAACACACTGGTTCCCTTCTCTTTACGTACAATGAATCAAAGAAGAGGATCTTGTTGTTTCAGCAGTGTCACAAGGACAAGACTAGAAGCAAAGCTTACTTTTGTGGACTGTAGCTCTCCAAATGGCCTGGGAGTAGCAGTAGTAGTAGTAGTAGTAGTAATAATAATAATAATAATACTTTATTTATACCCTGCCACCATCTCCCCGCTGGGGACTCGGGGTGGCTTACATGAGGCCAAGTCCAGACAACAAATTACAGCAGAATAAAACCGAAAACGCAAACAATAAACAACATCACAATTACATAACACATATGAATACATAATGATATAAAATTACAATAAACACAATCACAATGACAATGGGCGGACTACATGTAATGATTAAGAGAAAACAAATTAAAAACTGATTAAAAACTCGAGAGAGAAAAGGAGAAGTAGGTTATTTGCGGAGGACGGCTCATTAAAACGGGGGTTGTGGAATTAAGCTTTCCCACAAGGTGGGGGGACGGGACACGTATACTCCAATGACAGAACGTTGAGGCTAAGCAATAGTGTGAGGTTGTATACCTACTCACCAAAGGCGTAGCGGAAGAGCCAGGTTTTAAGGTTCTTTTTAAAAGTTTCTAGTGAAGGGGTTTTCCTAATCTCTCCAGGTAATGAGTTCCAGAGTTGGGAGGCCACAGAGGAAAAAGCTCTCTCCCTTGTGCTTACAAGGCAAGCTTGTGAAACTGGCAGGGGTGAAAGAAGGGCCTCCCCAGGTGTATTGTTGTTACCACCCAATTTTCCCCCAAGAATGGAACTCAAGGCAAATGAAAATGATTGCAATACAGTTCAAAACATATAAAATACAAGAATAAAATGGAATTGAATTATTAATAATATTAAAGCAATTTAAAACACACTCTTTAGGATGGTGAAAAGTAGTTAAAATAGTATAATTTTTAAAAATACATCAAACTTTTCCTTACAAGCTTATTTAAACAGGCTATTTGAACTAAAGCTTTAAAGGAGGGCATTTCAAAGTCTAAGGGCAGCCACCAAGAAGACCTTTTTTGAATTCTCCCCAACTCTACTTATGAAGGCAGTGGGACTAAAAGAAGAGCCACTTTGTATTGTCGAAGGCTTTCATGGCCGGAATCACTGGGTTGTTGTAGGTTTTTTCAGGCTATATGGCCATGGTCTAGAGGCATTCTCTCCTGACGTTTCGCCTGCATCTATGGCAAGCATCCTCAGAGGTAATGAGGTCTGTTGGAACTAGGAAAAAGGGTTTATATTGTTTTTCACAAAGTTAACTTCTCCAAGCTGACCATAGCATTACAGCTGGAGTAGAATGAATGCTGCTATCAGTGGGCCCCTCATCCTTTTTAGGCTGTTCTTTGGATTGTGAACTAACACTTCTACATATATGATTTCAGATTCTGATACTTTTGAAATTCCCCTGTATTTTAACAATCATGTAATAGTTAGGCTTGGACATTTTGTCTTAGACCCAAGTTTGAGTCCTCATCAGATCATGAACCTTACCGGACAACCTTGGATCTATCATTCTTTCTTGGCTTGGTCTACTGCGTGTGATTATTGGGAAGATAAAATTTTGGGGAAGAGAGTACTATGTACTGTGTTGAGCTCACTGGAGGAAAACTAGAATAAATATCTAAGGTAAGGTAAAGGTTTTCCCCTGACATGAAGTCCAGTCGTGTCCGACTCTGGGATGTGGTGCTCATCTTTATTTCTAAGACGAAGAGCCGGCGTTGTCCGCAGACACCTCCAAGGTGATGTGGCTGGCATGACTGCATGGAGCACCGTTACCTTCCCGCCGAAACGGTACCTATTGATCTACTCACATTTGCATGTTTTTGAACTGCTAGGTTGGTAGAAGCTGGGGCTGACAGCGGAAGCTCACGCCGCTCCCCGAATTTGAACCTGCGACCTTTCAGTCAACAGGTTCAGCAGCTCAGTGCTTTAACCCACTGTGCCAATGGGGGCTCAATATATAAATATCTAAACATAATAAAAAATTAATGATACTTACATTGACCAGTCCAAAGTAGTGTTCATTGAGTGGAAATTGCTCTGGTCCAATGTCTTTTTCCAGAGCAGAGGCATTGGTGCCCTGGGGGAAACAAAACAGCCAGTTACCTTTTTCTGTATTAAAATATATTCAAAATATATTCAAAATATCAACCACCCTCCTCAAAATGGATTAGTTATTTCTTGGGTGTTACACCTTCCTTGCCACTCACAGCCCTATCTTTATTCCACCAGGGACACAGGATTGTCATAATCCTTGTGTTTCCTCATAGTATCTTCTCTTAATGCTAGAACTCATCCACAGTTGTTGGTGGGAGAATGTGTACACACAAATAGTACTTCTTCCTCAAAACACACAATTAAGTAGTTCAATTTGCTACCACAAAGCATGTAGTGAGAGACATCCAGATGGTAGAATTTATGCAGCTTGACATTGCTTTAACTGCCGTGGCTCGATGCTATCGAATCATGGGAGTTATACCTTTTGTGAGGCACTAGTACTCTTTCACAGAAAAGGCTAAAGACCTTGTACAATGATAATTATCATGATTCTATAGCAATCATCCATGTCAGTTATAGTGGTGTCAAACTGCATTAATACTACAATGTGATTGGCGTTAAATTTCAAGATTTCATCACATCATGCGCATCATGCACATACCACTGCCATCTGCCTCCTTAACATGAATTACCCATCTCCTGGGTCCATTCTGCTTCCTTGCTGGCTTGCCAGTAGTACAGTGATACAAGGGAACAGGATTCTCCTCCTCTTCCACTTCAACTTGTTATTCCTAAGCTGTTTATTGTTTGCATTTTTATTAACCATTACAGTGAAGAAAAGAAAAGTACTGTATATTCTGGCATATAAGACGACTGGGCATATAAGACGACCCCAACTTTTCCAGTTAAAATATAGAGTTTGGGATATACTTGCGGTATAAGACTACCCCACTTTCAATGCACACCAAATAAAATTTTTAAAAGCATCAGATTTGATTTCAATATGGTAACTTTCCTATTACTGTACCTCCTTCTCTGTTTCTCAGATCTTGCACATGCGCACCTGCACCACTTCACTGCAGTCTTCCGGAGTGAGATCTGAGAGGCAGAGGAGGAGGTATGGTAATGGGATACAAGGGCGGGCCAGACAGGTAAAAGAGGTGTGTTTTTCTGGGCCCAGAGCCACTCTATCTCTTTTTTCCATACCCCGGGCACCCTGCAAGCCTGCAACTTGCTCCACCCTTCACTTACACCTTCCCGGAGAGGCGCCTCTTCACCTCACCATCGGGACTGCATTAAGTCCCCGAATCCTGATGAATGGCTTTTCTTCTACTATACTTGTACAGCGTCACCCTTAATGCTTTCATACAGTCGCTGCATACGGCAGGGACACGGCCACTGCCATTTTTGAGCTCCCCCCACAATATGCAGCAACCACAGATTCTCCAATCCGGATTGGAAGTTTCAGCAACCGCTCTATAAGACGACTCCTGGCGTATAAGACTACTCCTGCATGTAAGACGGCTCCCATGCATAAGGCTACTCCAGCGCATAAGGCGACTCCTGTGTATAAGACTACTCCCGCATATAAGATGACTCCTACGTATAAGATGAACCCTGACTTTTGAGAAGATTTTCTTGGATTAAAAAGTAGTCTTATACGCCAGAATATACGGTATGTAGCCGTATAATCACTGGACCATAGATCAGTGTTTTGGTACAATTGTATGAATGAAAAGAGATGCCTTAACAAAGATGCTCATGCCAATAATTATCCATTATTAACAATCATGAGACTGCCACAAAATAGTGGCTTTGTGCAATAAAGTCCTTAGTTAGGAGTTACATGACTTTATGGAGTATCAGGAGATTGTAGGCACTAGTCAGAGGCTGTAGGAGTATTTGTTGTGGGACCACAATGGAAGGATGCATTCTTGTTTTGCTTCTGAGCTTCCCATAGACAACTGGTTGGATACAATGGAACCAGAATCCTGGATTAAGTAGACCCCGTTGTTCTCTTCTTATTTCCTTTACTCTGTTCCTCAACCAGACCAGATATCATGAAGTGTATGGAAGTCTTGTTGATTTTCAAAGAACATTAGAGAGCAAGATCTATTCCTTCTGATGCATGACATCTAAATGGATCACCAAGGAACTCTCTCACCCGATACCTCATTAACCTGTCATCATCTGTTTTCCACACAGAGTGACGTATAAAAACAAGCAGACCACAGGGCTTTCTGATATTATCTAGTTTTATTTATTTCTGCAGTCAAATCTCATGTTTCCTTATTCTTTTTAACCACCCACTTTTCAAGGAGTGGGGACTGAGAGCAGAACTGGAGGGATGTTTTACTCTGGTCTGGGTTTATATAACAACTGTTTTGTTTTTCTCGCGGTGTAAAGAAAAAACTTGCACAGAACTGGAACAGAAATAAAGAAGATAATTGTGGAGAGCCTGCTGGCTTTAAAAGTAAACCAATTTGCTTGCAGTTGGCAACTATAAATGCTAACACTGTAGGCTTTTTAAAAAGTTTTATCTTGCTCTCAACCTGCTTTTCCTTTTCCAGCATGGTTTCACTGACAACAAAAGGCTGCACTGATTTTTTGTAAAACAACAGCGTATCTGAGTTTCCAGTCCACCTGAGCCTTTCTGAAAGAAAAGGGGCAATGAGAAGGCAAGCAAAGCAACAATGATTCATTGTAGTGCACTGCTGTTCTCCATGGTCTTGGCTCCTACTTTAGATTGCATCATTAGTAGCCAAAGAAGTATCAGATGGAATGCATGGTTTTTATTTAATGCAACACATCTATCAGCAGGGCTATAGCCAAGGGGGGGGGGTGGTTAGGGGTTCAACCCCCCGTCCAAATTTTTCAGGTTACGAAAAACCAGTTTACTCATGAATTTTTTCTGGTAGACCAAATCCCCACGCTAAGTATATGAGAAGCAAAAATTAAATGAGTCTCTCCAGAACTGCAACCAAATTTTGACAATTTATTCACATTGTCATTACTTGCAGCAATCGCAAGTACAGTGTTCCCTCACTTATTGCGGTTGTTACGTTCCAGGACCACTAGCGAAAAGTGAAAATCCGTGAAGTAGGAATGATATATACACAATCCCCCTGCACTGGGTTGGTCTCATGACATCACACAGGACCCCCTCCTTCCGCTCTCCCATCCTTTGCAGCCTCCCCTGCCCACTGTTGGGAGCTTTTATTTTTATTTATTTATCGTGTCATCAGCAACCAGACATTTATATTACATTTTTAACAAAAGCAAGCAAACAGACAGACAAAACACAAAGTTTGCAAGCTTGGTAGTTGATTAAATGTCCTTTGACCAGTAGCTGGCCACTTGGAGTGCCTCTGGTGTTGCCGCAAGGAGGTCCTCCATTGTGCATGTGGCAGGGCTCAGGTTGCATTGCAGCAGGTGGTCTGTAGTTTGTTCTTCTCCACACTCGCATGTCGTGGATTCCACTTTGTAGCCCCATTTCTTAAGATTGGCTATGCATCTCGTGGTGCCAGAGCGCAGTCTGTTCAGCGCCTTCCAAGTCGCCCAGTCTTCTGTGTGCCCAGGGGGAGTCTCTCATTTGGTATCAGCCATTGATTGAGGTTCTGGGTTTGAGCCTGCCACTTTTGGACTCTCGCTTGCTGGGGTGTTCCAGCGAGTGTCTCTGTAGATTTTAGAAAACTATTTCTTGATTTAAGTCGTTGACGTGCTGGCTGATACCCAAACAAGGGATGAGCTGGAGATGTCACTGCCTTGGTCCTTTCACTATTGGCTGCTACTTCCCGGCGGATGTCAGGTGGTGCAATGCCAGCTAAACAGTGTAATTTCTCCAGTGGTGTAGGCGCAGACACCCCGTGATAATGCGCATGTCTCATTAAGAGCCACATCCACTGTTTTAGCGGGCATGCATACTCAGCAACAGAGTAGCATAGCGCAAGGGAAGATGTCTTCACTGTGTCTGGTTGTGATCCCCAGGTTGTGCCAGTCAGCTTTCGTATGTTGGGAGCTGTTGCCCCTGTATCGTCGTGTGGTTCATGTGATTTTCTCATGGCAGAAAACAAGCTTGCTCCCTCCTCCCTATGACTTCCTCTCACATACTTATACATGGCTATAATGTTTCCTCTCAGTCTTCTCTTCTTCAGGCTAAACATGTCCAGCTCTTTAAGCCGCTCCTCATAGGGCTTGTTCTCCAGACCCTTGATCATTTTAGTTGCCCTCCTCTGGACACATTCTAGCATGTCAACATCTCCCTTCAACTGTGGTGCCCAGAATTGGACACAGTATTCCAGGTGTGGTCTAACCAAGGCACAATAGAGGGATAGCATGACTACTCTTCATGACTTGCTAAAAAGCAGTCCCCCTCCCCCAAATTTCTGGCTAAGGCCTGTCCATCAGTAAGGTAAGACATCAGTGATGACCGAGTAAAGCTATTGGCAGACCTTTATTGCCCATTTTCCATTGCTGGAATGTTGAAGTATAACTACAGCTGGGCATTATACAGGGAAACAACAAAGTCCTACACCACTGGATTGGTAACTTTTGACTGTCCCACTTCGATGCCTTGAACTTGCTCAGAACCCCTTCCCTCGCAGCTGGATTTCCCACTGGGAAAACTGGCAGAGAGGTGAAGTTAAGTGATGTGTATCACTGTCACATTGGATTAAGGACGTTGGTCCCCCCCTCTCTCATATTTGTCATTTACTAACTTGTGACATACAAAGATGTAGGTCAGTTCCCTTTCTTTTTTATTCTCTCGTATCTTAGCATGCTGAGCGGCTGCCTCCTTAGCCTGCAGCTACCAAGACTGTCATTCTGCTTCCTTACTAACAGCTTCCATGTCAGCCTCTATTTGTGTTTTAAGTTTTCATTTTCTTCCAGGAATGTACTTCTCTCTCCTCTCATGAATGAATACAGTTGGGCAGATTCATCGGTATGCATGCTTGCACACCCATCCAAACTGACTATTTATTAGTCTTGAACTTTCCACCGTTTCCTTCTTTTTCTCTGGGCTTCTTGATCCTTTGATCTCCGCGCCCGAAAAAAACACCAATGAATCCCCCAAAGGTGAGT